CCACCGGATGACTTAAAACATATCCTAGAATATTTGCTAGCTAATACTAACAAGTGGAGTAGAATAGTTATCGGAGGAGATTTTAATGCACCCGACGTAAGCTGGTCGGATGAGGGCCTGGCATGTCCAGGAACTAAACTATCTGAAGTGCTCGTAGACATTGCATTTGGTCGTTGTCTTCGTCAAACAGTTGAAGAACCTACGCGAATTACTGAAACATCAAGCAGCTTGCTCGATCTCTTGTTCGTTAGCAAACATTTCGATCATTGTAGCGTTACTGTGCATGAAGGAATATCTGATCACAAATTGGTGTTTTTTAAGTGCGATATGAATGTTTGCCAAAAAGATTCAGCTCAAGTAAAACAGTATTATGACTACGAAAGGGCTAATGACGAGTCTGTTATTGATTATCTAGAAGATCATCTAGACGGGTTTGAAGATCACAGTGGTGTAAATGAAATGTGGTTGAATTTTAAAAGTATTACTGAGCACTGCATCCTAAACTTTATACCGAAGAAAACTAAAACGACAAAACGCCACAATCCATGGGTTACAAGAGAAATTTTGCAGGCAAAACGTAAAGAGGCTTCGAAAGCATCATACTCCTGCTATCTGTGAGCAGAGTGACAAGTTAAAAACATTGACAAAGCTAGCCATGGAAACCTATTTTACAAAGTCATTGCCAGAATTCATTTCATCCTCCCCTGAAAAGTTTTGGCGTTATCTTACTCCGTCACGGACTAAGATAAGTCAGTTACGTGTTAATAACAACGTTGTGCACGACAGGGCCATAATGTCGTCTCAATTCAATCACTATTTTCAGTCTGTGTTTACAACAGATTCAACTGAATTCAGCAGCATTTTTAACGATGAAGGCTCTAATGTGAGTGGTTTTGTATCGGAACAAGGTATCGTATCCTTATTGTTATCAATTAATACTAGGAAATCGCCAGGACCAGATACTGTACCAAATGAATTTCTAAGGAGATACGCTGAATGGGTTGCGAAATACTTAACAATTATATTCTTCATTTCACTCCGAGACTCTGTTTTGTACCGGACGGTTGGTTATTAGCAAGAGTTGTGCCCGTGAAAAAGAGTGGGAAGGGGGATTCAGTTTATAATTATTGCCCCATTTCTTTGACCTGTACGTCATGTAAGCTACTATAGAGCACATTGTGAATAAACAGCTAGTTTCTTTTATGGAGGATAAGGGCATCCTAAGTTCCAATCAGCATGGTTTTCGGAAAGGGTATTCAACAACAACCCAACTACTTGAATGCTATCATGAGATTTCTGGTTATGTTAATAATCGCCTGCAAGTGGATGCCATTTTTATAGATCTGTCTAAAGCGTTCGATCGAGTACCACATTTTAAACTAATTAATGTTTTAATTGACTACGGTGTTCCTTCATTTATTATAAGATGGATTACCGCATATCTCAGAAATCGCCGGCAGTTCGTCGATGTAAATGGCACCTTTTCGGAATTGTTGGACGTGTACTCAGGGGTTCCACAGGGCTCCGTGTTGGGTCCCTTGCTTTTCTTAATATATGCTAACAGTGTGTTTTCTATCTGTAGTAACGGGCGCGTGAAAGTAAGAATGTCTGCCGATGATTGTATTATATATGCTCCCATTTCGTCAGTTAAGGATTAGATAGAAGTAAATGATATTTTATATCGCATCTCGTCATGGTGTGTTGAAAAGGATATGATAATAAACACCCAGAAAACGCAATACACGCACTTCACGAATAAAAAAAATATATTTTACTTTGACTACGACCTTGATTATGTCAGGCTTACTAAAGTTGACAGCTATAAATACTTGGGTGTGGTTATCACTAGCGATCTGAAATGGAACAAACATGTGGATTATGTAACAAAAAAGGCAACTAAAAAACTTTGGTATTTACGAAGGAAGTTGTATAGGACACCTCCCTCGGTTAAGCTTGTTGCCTACAAAGCTCTTGTAAGACCAACACTGGAGTATGCTTCCGAGGTGTGGGATCCCTGGCAGGCCACGCTTTCTAATGAGCTTGAAAAGGTTCAGTCACTTGCGGTGCGTACGATATTTTCTGATTTCAGGACTATGACGTCTGTGACGGAGCTAAAAAAGCAGGCAGGCATGCAGCCCTTGAAAAAAAGGAGAATATGCCAACGCCTGAAATTATTTTTTTTCAAATTTATAATCACCTTCTCAAAATCGACAGCTCTAAATATGTAACACCCAAAAGCCACCGTTCAGAGCGCTTACATCACCCGAAAGTGCTCGAACCCATTCACGCCCGTATAAATATATTTAAACAATCCTTTTTTGTGCAGGCTATAGATTCTTGGAATAAACTTCCAGGTGCTGTTGTTGCTCTCGAGTCGATTTCTGATTTCGAGAAAGCTCTACGTGTGTTGTTTGAATATATATATATATATATATATATATATATGTGTGTGTGTGTGTGTGTGTGTGTGTGTGTGTGTGTGTGTGTTTATGGCACGCCTCTGTAAGCGGATTTGTAACACCGGCTTATTTTTTTTTTTTTTTTTTGTACGTGTGCGATGTACAGAACGCAGTGTACATTCTTTGTTTTTGTGTTATCCACTCCTGCTTTGGCCCTTAACAGGGCTGGCAGTATTGTGAAATAAAAAAAAAACTTAAATGATGACTTGACAAACAACATGACACCCTTGTAACGTCCAATATAGTTTTTTTTTTCTTTTTCTGTAAAATATTTTATTTTCTTGAGTTTGCAAACCAAAATGTAAGCCCGTCAAGAGCAGCATCCCCTAAATCTCTGAAGAATTATCGAATTTCCAGCGAACATAAGCAAAACGCGCCAACTTTGACTGGACCTCACTTGTTTCCACAAAATGGGTGGACGGCAAAGGTTTCTACTGGTATCAGATAATTGTAGGGAAAAGCAAACAAAAAAATACTTTCGCAGGCAATATCAAATGTCTGTCACAAAAAAAAACCCAAAAAAACATCATGTTATTTGTGAGTGGCTGCAATCAATAGCTAAAATAACATCTTGTAGAATTATTGGCAAAACAGCAATAAAATGGCTTCTAGATATACGATGTTAGCGAAGGCATTCTTGAATCTTGAGGAACGTCCATTCACGCCGTTGGTGCAGGAAGATGATTGAACTATTCAGGTGTGCGGGGCAGTGTCGTAGCCAGTGGGGGGGGGGGGGGGGGGGGGGGGGGGGCTATGGCGGTTTAGCCCCCCCCCCCCCCCCCCCTAAAAAATGCCTGGCTACGGCACTGGTGTGTGGTAATTGTAAGAACGAGTGAAAGATAAAATTACTCTTTGACATGATGGAGTTTCGACTTTGGAGATATGATCTAACTAAGGTGAAACGTATTGAAGAGCTAAAATACGTTATTCACGCAGGTAATTAAGTAACTTCTGAAAAAGGAAAATACAAAATGTTTTACGTCAAGATGCAAGGAATGGTATGTCGACGTTAGATTCATTTGCGCTTATTTTACCAGTTTTGTTACAGTCAGAGGATATAAAACGGAACAATTGTTTTGGATCATTGCCAATGAGTGTGTTCAGTTTTCTTGGCTAGGATTTTGAAATAATGCGGCATATTCAAGGTTTGAGAAAGTTCGTGTTTCCATGAGTGATTTTACAGGCGTATCTGCTTTTGAAAAGTTAAGTTCGAAAAATACCAACGTTCGGTTAACGTTATTAATTACGCATGCATGGTGAGCAGTCCAAGTGAGAGCGGTTCTGATAAGAACACTAAGATGCTTATAAAAGTACGGCGCCTAAGTGCAGGTTGTTATAACAACTGGTAGATTGTGAATTTTTCTAGATGCGCGCAGCATCTGTTAATGTGTTTCATGATGCTTAGCCCCGGACTGGTTATGTCGTCGTCGTATGTTATTTCCCGGAAAACTCCGCAGTCATCAATACAAAAAGAATAGAAAAACATAAAAAGGCAAGCTAATAAGATACGCAGGAAAACGTAATACTTTTTTTTTTCTTCTTTTAGAGGTCGGGGTTTGCCCCGACAGAAATTCGCACCTATCATAAGTAGAAACAGCGCAAGAAAACACGGACAAAGCAGAAGATACACGCGAACAGGACGAACGCTGAATCAAAACTGTGGCTTTTATTACTTGAAACAGAAAGGGCGCAAAAGAAAGGAAGAAACCAAACAGGCATTATCATTTTCAGACATGTGTCAAAACCCCTTGCCCTATCACCCCCGTGTAATCATCGCGTGGCCTACTCTCACCCTCGCGCGCAAAATTTCAAATGTTTTGTTCCGGTCATATCATTGCCTGGACACCTCTCACTGTCGTGTACAAAAATTCAATCTCAGAAATTTATTTTGCGTGTCAGTGCAAATGCGTGTCAATGCGTGGCATGCGTGTGGCAAGGCGTTTCTGCCGTGTCGCGGCCGTCAGTGACAAAATCAAACTTCTATTGATCTTTTTTTTTCTCCCCTATATTTTTTATCAATATTTTTCTAACAGACACGGATTACCACAACCCGTATATACATTTAATTTTGCGTGCCCCTTGAACGTCTCAGATATGACAGAGCCCACGAACGAGCTCTGTCAGTACAAACCGCAATTGGACGCGGGCTCTCGCATTCGATTTTTTTTTTTTCCATACGCGAATACAGTCAGAGGCATGTCATCTTTTGCGTAACAGATTTCCCGTCGGGATGTGCAATTGCGGACGGGACACAATGGATCGACCTTTCCTCATGCAGCACGGTGCCGAACGAGGTACGCGAAATACGAAACCGAAACCGGAACGGAACTCCCGCCGAGGTACCTACCCTCGCTTTGGGACGTATCGAGACGCACAACCGCGCAACAGTCGTCTCTCTCATCGCGAACCCGTTCGCAGCTCTCTATTGAACCAGTTTTTTTCATCTTAATCTTTGTCTAAACTTATTTATACATTTATTTTCGGACAAAACAACTCCGCTTTCTCGGCAAGCCGTAAGTCTGCATCATCTGCATTTTTCGATTTTTTTTTTTTCTAATTTTTTTTTTCTCTTTGCTGCGGGATTTCAAAGATGGCTGCTTGTTTTGGCTGGGCTGGGTACCTCGCTGGGTGCGTTGAGTGAAGTTTTGTTGTGGTGTTGTGCGAGCGATTTCTTTTGAGAAAACGGTTGCTGAGTCGACGGCTGTGCTGTGCCTGCGCGGAGCTTGAAAGGTATTTGAGTCTCATGTATTCGAAAGGGATGCGCGATTTGTCGGTGTCTAACCGATACCAAAACAAAGCAAAGTGCCGCGATCTCGCAGGTTCCGATGCTTTTTCTTGCAAGCAGGCGCGCTAAAGTAAAGAGGATGCAGTCTAAACGACCTAAAATGCGACGTATTTGGATTGGTCCGCCAAAATTCCGTCGTAGTATCCTTCTTGAGTTTGAACTACGCATGTGAGCGCTACCGTTATGCCAAGGTCGTAGAGTTGCGATCACATCCTTGGTAGGCTACAGCGCGCTCATGCGATGCGCCCGATTTACCGTTTTCCGGTTTTGTATAGAAGATAACCCTGACTGGGGTCTAATTCTCTTATTGACCAGCATTGCAGTCTTGCGCGTTTTCTTCGAAAATAGTAAATAGAAGAGTGTTCGTAGATCAGGTGGTTGCATTTGTCCGCTACATCATATTCTCCCTTTGCAACAAGCTTGTCGCAAAATTCTACAAATTTTGTCACATATAGATTAATTATTCGTGAATGTTATTAAGGTTTCAGGGTAGCATAACGAGTTATCATTAGTGCCGACTTGGACCCGCCTATGTTGACAATGAGTAGAAGAGGTGATGTCGTAAGATCTATTTCCAGCAGCATTTAAAGTATCATTGTTGCAGGAAAAACGTTGAGTACCTTCTGGTCAGATGAACGCCCGATACCGGTTTCACTGATTTATTCGGCATCTGTAGATTCTGGGCCAACTAGATGCTTGAAGCACGGCATTATCAGTACTTGTTGGACATACTGACTTTGTTTAATTCGTGTAAACACATTAAATGCATCTATTTTATATTGTTAGTGCACTCGACGAGCACATTGCGGGATGGTACAGTCGGCAGCAAAAGTTTGCGGGGCACGGGAGCGCCAGCCGAAATGACGGCGCGTGGCCACACTCAAGACTCGCGCTTTGAAAATGCGCTTCCTTTCGTGCCCGCAGTCACGTTCTTTTGACTCGCTTCTGCCCGATGCACAGGAGATGACCGGCGCAAGGCGCCGCGTTGTCAGCTGTCATTACACGCGTCTGCCTCAGTCGCCGCGATCGGTGACGAAGCTTGCGTGCTCGAGATAACATTTCGCGGCACCTTGCGCCAGTTCCCGTTATCTCGTGTGCGTCAAACAAAAACGAGCGAAAAAAAAAAAAAAGGAAAAAACGATTTCGAACACGAAAGGAAATACATGCGCAAGGCGTGAGTCTTGAGAGTAGGGATGTCGCGAACCACCTTAGGTTCGATTTCGAAAGGTTTCGATATTTGCGAAGCGAACTGAGGTTCGATTTCGAAAATTTTCGATATTTTCGTACCGACCGAGGTTCGATTTCGAAAAATTCGCAACTTTTGTCCACAGCGGAGTTTCGAATTCGAAAATTTCGAAGCTTTCACGGATTTAAAATTTCGAATTCGAATATTTCGAATATTTTTTTACTTCAGGTTCGATAAATTCGAAGATTTCGAAATTCTTTGTAAAAAAAATTCGAAAACTTCGAACGCTTCGAATTTTTATAGACATGAAGTTCGAACAATTCGAAGATTTCGAATTTCTTTTGGCATAAAGTTCGAAAAGTTCGAAAGTTTCGATTCTCTTTTAACGCTAAATTCAAAAAAAAAAAAGAAAAAAGCTTTGAAGATTTTGAATTTTTTTCTAATCCAAGTTTTCAAAGTTCGAAGTCCGATTTTCAAGTTTTTCCACAGTTTCAGTTTCAAATAACGTTTTCACGACTCACTTGTTTTCACAAAATCAAGTTTAGAAAAGTTAGGGTGTGATATCTAGATTCTGCGAAGTTGGTAAGGCAATTAAATGAGACGACGAGTGTCCCGGACGTGCTAGAATATTTGCCAGTGCAGAATTGTGACCGCCAGCCCCCCGGGGGGGGGGGGGGGGGGGGGGGGTCTTTATCACGCAGTAGTGATTGCACGAACACACTGTTTTACGAGACTCATCCAGTTCGAAACGGCCAGGGGCAAGCAGGAGGTTGAGGCTCAGAGAAACCTTGAAGCGACCTGGAAAACTAGCTCGCCACCCCTTGCACGCTGGTAGTAATCCGATCCGGTGAAGTTTATAATTGTACAGGAGGTTTATTTTCTGGGACGGAGGAATCGCCTCGCAAAAAGCACAAAAGGCGACACAACTCGAGGTCGATGAGCGTTCTACCATACAAGTGGCGTCGGAAGAGCTTCTTTTTTCCCCTTGCAGGTATTTCGGACTGTTAAAGAAAACAATACGGGGAAAGAGGGCGTGGTCGAGCTTATTTTAATCTGAAATTATTTATGCATATGTATAGCTACTGTCGCTCTTCACTGCATAAAAGGTTGCGTAGATGGTCATTGTTAGAAACGCGTTGTCAGAAGGCACTGCTCGTCACATGCTTAGTGGTTCGGACGTTCAAAGCTGTCTTTTCGACCTAAACGCCTGTGCCGATAGTAACAAAAGAAAAAAAAAAAGTATAAATGCGGGAATAAAAAGCAGGAGAAAAAAAAAAACTATCAAGAATTCGTCGGAAGTGTTCTATTCTTGCATATTCAGAGGTTCAGAACTTCGAAACAAGTTTCTTTTACCAAAATGTGTACAGGCTAAAAGAAACACGTCCCAGGAACGTGAAGCGAAAAAAAAAAAAAAAGTGTTCTTTTAATGACGTGCTGAACTTAAACACTACTAGAAATCTGCTGCCATGAGTTAATTTATTCCTTAACGTGAAAAAACAATAAATATATTATTTTGTATTCTGCAGATGGCAATGATATGTACTGCCTGTGGTGTTAATTTCAATGCGATACCTCAAACAACTTAGACAAAAATAAATATCAAGTTTAGGTCATAATTGCATGCAGATACATGTTTGGACAGTTCTTCGAAACTCACGTTGAATAACAATAATCACATCTTAAGACGGCACTTACCTACGCTATACATAGATCATTCTTAAAAAAAAGTATAACATATCTACCACAAATAGCTCCGGCTGCAGCGTGCTTCAAATCTGGCACAAACGATAATCGTCAAAAACCCGTCGTCCGTCCTCGCCCCTTCGGGGATTTATTTCTTTAAACCTAAGCATGCCAGAACATTGAAATAAATGACATTGTCTTTCGTAAGGAACGCAGCACCGCGTGTAAAAGTTCGAGAAAAAAAATTACGAATGTACCCCACTACTTGAAATCAAATGAAACTTTCCGCCGGTCTTTCGAAGTTCGACGAACGTCGAACTTTTACCCTATAAGTTCGAAGTTCGTCGAACTTCTGACTTTTCAGAATTCGAAAGTTCGAACCTTTTCGAATTTTCTTGATAAATAAGTTCGAAAGTTCGAAATTTATCGAACTTTTTGGTCAGTCAAGTTCGAAAGTTCGGCAAGCATCGAACCTTGCAGCGCAATAAGTTCGAAAGTTCGAAAACGATCGAATTTTTTAGCGTAATAAGTTCGACGGTTCGAAAAGCGTCGAACTTCTTAGCTTAACAAGTTCGAAAATTCGACCTCTGTCGAATTTTACGATATAGACAATTCGAAAAATCGAAATCTTTCGAACCTTTCGAACCGCTTGATTCGATCATCGAAACTTCGATTCGAAAAAAGTTCGCGGCATCCCTACTTGAGAGCGGCGGCGTGCCGTCAGGAGGTGCAGTCACTCATTCCGGCTGCGCGCCCGTGCCCCGCAAACCTTTTTTGACGGCTGTACCTCCTGTTGGAAAACCTGATTTAGCTTTGTTTCCATCCCTAAATTTACTATTTACACCGAACGACTGTAGCGAATTGATGTTACAAGCGGTGTTCAAATCTTGTCTGAGGTGCCCACAACTTGATGGAGGCTTGTTGTGGGCGGAGAAGGTGCAGTGCCATGTAACCGGGATTTCAGTTGCACGCCAAACGATAGTCGTTTGGTCGAAATAAACCCTCAGTATTTTGCTGGGGTGTGCCCCATCAAAAGATGGAGACCCTTTGATTTGGCACGTAAAATCCCCAAATTAGACTTTTGACAGCCGTCTCTGTTTGTTCCCTCAACAATAATTGGAACGGCAAAATCTAGTCCGGAACGAGCATAACAAACACGCTGCAGCTCGTCAGAGGACGGACCAAAAGCTTGCATTGCAGGCATAAAATTTTTTGATTCAGTTACAACCCCCTGGCACTAGCATTGTGAGGGGATATTCTGTCAGCGTGTTGCCTTGCGGTCATCATTTCACGTTGCACAATGCAAGGAAGGTATTCTCTGGCGTGGTGTCACGTTACCATCACTGCATAATGCAAGGTAAAGGCATCACATGAGCTGTAGCACTTTTTTTACTGTGGAATAATGACATGCTTGATTCTTCTTTTTATGCAAATGTCAGTGTAACAAATTCAGCCTTTTTGTGTTGGTAACCTCTTGATGGAAGACCTTAAAAAGGCGCTTCCCAAATACATTTTATTTTTTGAAGTGCCTGAGCAGGACATATATGTTACAAAATAAAGTTCACCCTAAAAAAAAAAATTAAAAAGTAGAATTGTTAGTGCAGTATTTATATTGTGAGATTCTTTAGAGCAACTCAGATATGGGCTTCAATTTCGAGGTCGACATCTCGAAATAAGAGTATAGGTTTCAGAATCCTTCCCAACTCAAAATGTAACATAAATATCACGCTAAAAGAATGCTTTTCCGAGGAAACCTTCATTCAGTGAAACTATGCAGGCATTCAGGTTTAACACTGACCGAGTAAACCCTGGAGCGAAGGGAAGAAGGGATGGACAAACACAGGACTCCATCGGAGTTTTGTGCGGGCATGTTTACCTGCCGCCTCCTCCACTTGCTCCAGAGTTCAATATGTCAGTTCATTGCACGACACACATGGCCCATCGAGGCACAAAGTTAATATAATAATCTAGAGGAAAAGGTCCCATGCATTCCAGCCGCTTTGGAATGCTGGGGCATAGATGCGCACATCGGTGTTCCCAAAGGGTGGTCCCAATGGGTGCATACCCCCGACGGCACCTTCACATGCACAAAGGAGTGGAAAAACATAGCTCGTAAAGCCTGTGCTTAATTTTTTTCAACTTGGTAGAAAAAGGCCTGCATCGTGCATCCTATAAAAATAAATAAAATTGACAAGCACTTGACGATCGACTCGTCGCGGCAAAATGAGCGCGCCTAACACATGGTCTGCTTTCTTTCTCCACTTTTCTCTCCCTTTGTCGTTCTTTCTCTGGGGACTACCGACTTCGGCGCTCGGGATTCGGCGCGTTCTGCTCCTGTCTTTCTCCAAACAGAAAGTCCAGAAAAGAATGCAGAAATATTTTTTAGGGGCCTGGCATCCCTTTAACTAACCCGTGCCCAACTCTCCTGCAGGATGGAGGGCTGGGAGCGGAGGTAGCGGCGGAGCCGGCTACCGCCATGTCGGTGGAGCTGGGGCTGCGGGTGGTGCGGGGCCCCGACTGGAAGTGGGGCAACCAGGACAGCGGGGAGGGCCACGTGGGCACCCTGGTGGAGGTCGGCAAGGCTGGCAGCTCCTCCTCGCCCGACCGCACCGTGGTCGTGCAGTGGGACTCCGGCTCTCGCACCAACTACCGGGTTGGCTACCAGGGCTCCTACGACCTGCGGGTCTTCGACAACGCCCCCGTCGGTGAGTGCTTACTTCCCCTCGGCTCCCGGAACGCGTCTTTGACCGGTGCGCCAAGAGTCCCAAAGGGCGGTTTCGCGTGGCGTACCGTAATGGCCCGAGAGATAGCCCGCCTAAAATCAATAGCAAATCGGATGCAAATAATGTACAAACCAGGGTGTAAGATAGACAGGTGGGGAAACGAGAGCCAAATGAGCGGCCGGATCGTGTCCCCCTCGGTTTTCTCTTTTTCTGTGGTGCCATCTATGTGGAGCACCGTGAACTCTCACTGCGGGTGGGCGACCGATGGCGATCGGCTAAACTGACGGAGGTGGTTTCTTGTGGATTTTCAATGAAGGACTGTCGTGCTCTCGGTTTTATTTTCGGTTCTCTCCCATAGAGTTTCCTGCAAATCCGACTCCAGTTTTTTTCTTCTCGCCACAGCGCCGTCTGTCGCAAATCGGGGGTACCCGCAAGCAGATGAGTACACAATCCGGGCACGGCGCTGCGGTAGGCTTCTATGGGCCGTTTCCCCACCTGTCTATCTTACACCCTGGTATAAACTAACTTTCAATGTGCCATAAAAAAAAAAAAAAAAAAAAATGCTAGTTTTAGATTTTGTGAACGCTCGAAACTTGCGATTGCAGAAAGGCACATTGAACCAAGGACGACTGTCCTTCCAAGTCAGCAATGTCCGCTCATCTCCCGCCGTGGTTAAGTAACACCGTTTTGGCCTAGGTCACCATTGGCCAGGGCCCTGCAATTACTGGAAGTGGGCTATCTTTCGGTGTTTCAGAAAAAGTAACAAATCGTGCTAGAAATAGGGGGCGGGCTATCTTTCGTTGGTGGGGCATCTGTTGGGATGTTACGATACGTCTGGCTCGAATTCTCTCTATGAACTTTTGCTCTGTGTCTTTCTATGCGCAAAGGTGGCGCTTTGAAAACCTAGCTCGAGTTATTTTGCGCTGTGGTCGACGCCGCCAGAGCAATGGCTTATGCGGTTACAAATATGTCCCCGGTCATACTTAACGAATTCTGTCATCGACGGAGCCACTCGCCGTGCTTGTGTGTTTCCCCGACACCAAATGCGATGCCAATGACTAGTCTTGTGTGCCAACTAATGGAGAGAGTGGCATACGGCGTTCGTCGATGTGGTGGAACACCGCTTACTGGAAGTGAAGAAGCATTTTGTGAAACGGCCCCACACTCTGGGAATCGAAAGCGGTCCTGAAAAAGCAACGAATTACGTCGTGAAAGCCAGTGTGTTACGCGACAGGGTGCTGTGACCCTGGCTGTCGGTCGTAGAAGTTCCGGCAAAAGTTTGAGCGAATGCGAGTGTGGTCGTCATCGGGTCGGACAGCGAAAGATTCCCTGAAATTACGAAACAAAGTTGTCTCTCAGCTAAGTCGGCCTAGCCTTCTTTCAGTGGCTGTGTTTATAGTGGTAGATGCAAAGAGCAGATTTTCACCCTCTATCAAGGTTATGTTTGCACTAGTTCAGCATTAATTGTAAGCATAGACACACTTTACGTTAAGCTGCGAAATCAGGAAATAAGAGAGATAGAAAAAGGAAGTGCTTACACAGAAAGTATTAGGGAAGTGATACTTATTTATGTAATATTATCTTTTCTGTGTGCATGTTAATACTTTCAGGGGGACGTAAAGTTAGCTTTTAGGAGAATGATGCATAATAGACTTCAAGACTTTGAAATTAATAAAATAAAAGAGGATTGTTTCCTTCTGTCTAGGGTTATGCAATCTTGTTGTAATCTGTAATTCCCAGGTTGGGTCCTCTATTTTTTTTAAGGATAAATTCCTGGTTGATAAGTGGGAGATAAAATAGTCTCCTTGAAACTCTGAGCCCCTTTCTGCTTTGGCAAGAAGCATGGTTCCTCAATAAGATTAGATACAGACCTCACTTCTTTCTTGGGTGACACTGTTATCTTTGATAGGGGTCTTGCTGACACTGTCGCCACACAGATGCCGCCTAACTTTGTTTTTTTTGTTTTTTGCTTGAGACCTCTCCAGACCATAGGTCGGCATTTCCGAACCCACTCACTCACCATCACATCACTAATTACAGCAACATCCAAAAGTCACAGCCCTTCACATCACAAAGTACATCGACGTCCAAAAGTCACAGCCTTTCACATCACAGAGTACACCGACGTCTAAAAGTCACGGCCTTTCACATCACAAAGTACACCGACGTCCAAACGTCACAGCCCTTCACATCACAGAGTACACCGATGTCTAATATTCACGGCCCTTCACATCACAAAGTACACCGACGTCCAAAAGTCACGGCCATTCACATCACGGAGTTCAACCGGACAACAAACTCATCCCCATCACGTCACCACAATCTCTGAACTCACAAAGTCATTCACCGTCACTTCACGAATCCGTCAAGTTCACCAAGTACTTCACCGTCACATCACGAATCCTATAGAGTTCATGAAGCATTCCCCATCCCATCACCGCCAGCTCTGAATTCACAAAGTCGCTCACCGTCACATCACGAATCCGACAGAGTTCATGAAGCATTCCCCATCCCATCACCGCCAACTCTGAATTCACGAAGTCGCTCACCGTCCCATCACGAGCTCATCGAGTTCAGCAAGTCGTTCCCCTCACGTCCTTGAACTGATCCCGTTCATGAAGTCGTTCGACCGGTTCGACTTCACGGCCCTTCACCGAGTCACAGTCATTCACCGAGTCATAGCCATTCACCGAGTCACTGAGGTCACGGAAAGCGGCGTCGGCCCCTGCAGCCGCGGCCACCGCCACTGCCTCTGGCTCTCAGCCATCCTCGAAGTTCTTTCGCAGCGGCGCTGACGGCTCTAGATGTGTGTGTCAGTGTGTGTGTGTGTGTGTGTGTGTGTGTGTGTGTGTGTGTGTGTGTGTGTGTGTGTGTGTGTGTGGGGGGGGGGGGGGGGGGGGTTATTGGGCTGGGCCGGGCGACGCACCCTGCACTTGTCATTTTCTTTGTTTAGCTTGTTCCCTCTGGTTTTAGTTTTATTGTCCCGTTTCTTTTATTTTCGTTTTGTTTCGCGCTTTCTTCATCGAGCGCGCATGCTGTGGAGAGCGAGCGGCTTCTTGACTTCCCTGCTCCGAACTTGTGAGATAAGGTGCTTGTTTCCGGGAGAGTTATTAGCCCCACGGATGCCCAGAACCAAAATGGCTGCTGGTTTGTGGGCGAGCGGTATTACAAAAGGTGGCATCACTCTAGCAAAGCGCACATGAAGGCTCCCTAGACTTCGCCTGGTTGTCGGCGTTGTGATTGTGGAGGGGACCCCACCTCAAAACCTTCTGGCCTGTCCTTTTTTTTTTTTTTTTTTTTTTTTTTTTTTTTTGCGGACGGTTTTTTCTACGAAAAAAAAAAGAAGGCGCTTATATTTTTGCCAACGACCGCTCGCCGAGGGGGCAAAAAGGAGAGACAGACACAAACCTGCGTGCACGATTTTTGTGAAACATCTTACAAACATTAATACGAGTCCATATTATATGAACGAAGACGTTTTAGCGCATTAGAGTTTAGCGAATAGAGATCACATACGCAAGTCGACGTTTAGGCATTTGTAGGGGCGGCAAACTGGGCATCCAAACAGACCGCGCCAGGCGGTCTGTTCAGAACGATAGCAAGGGGTGCTTCGGTATAGTTTGGGGAAAATAATATGAACTCAAGTTCGAGCGTCCATCGCCAAAGGTTCGGCAAGCTCGAAAGCAGGACAGCGGCGGCCTTCATTTTATCTATTCGGTCAAATGAACGCCGCCATTCGCTAAAGTGGCATTCGATGAAACGCCGTGGGCCAGGTTTCGCTCGCTAAACCGTCGTTCGATCAGTACAAAATTGTTCTGTGTATTTTATCTTAATAATTATGATCCATGGCAACCAGCCTATCGTTGCCTACCTCACTTTACGTCGTAAAATAGCGCGTTGATGCCATTTTCATAAGAGATACCATAATAACGCAGTACTTCACAGCCGACCGCTGAATCACCCGTCTAATATTTTGTCACGGATTTCATCATATATATATATATGACGTAGACATTCAAAATAAGAGTCATCCATTCCCAAAAATTTCAGCGGACTGGAACTACCTTCCCACATCTGTTGCCACAATTGCCACTTACTATATGTTTAAAAATTGCCGTAAATAATCTATACAGCTCAGACTGAGCTCCAAAGTGTACAGCTTTGTTCTGTTCTCTTCTAACTCCCGCTCACCTCTGTAATGCTGATGGCCCTGAGGGTATGTCAGTTAAACAAATAAATAAAAAAAGTAAGTGCCTCGCCTGAAAAACTTCTTAAAGAGGTCGCCTCTTTAAGAGGTTTGCAGCTTGCCGAAGCAATGAAATCTGTGTTTTATTCGAACCCGTTGGTCAGAGTACACCTCATCATTAATTAAACCACTCATTGGCTCATTCACCTCAAAGCAATATGTTTACTTCTGAGCGTGTTCGTGTCGCTCAACCTACTTTGAGCGAAATGCAGTCGAGATAACTAATGATGGCGCTCGACTCCACTTTTCTCAGCTTTGAACCGAGGCGAGGCGCGCGACTCACGCGCGCCTCGCGCTCGTTGTTTTCCGCCGGGGTTTGGCTGCGCATAGACTCGGATAAGATGTAGCGTACTGTGTTTTCGGAGTTCATGTTTGAATAGAATCGGAACGTGTTTTAGGAGTTTATTTTGTAGCGTAGTCTACACTGGCCGAGGCTGAGCAGTTTCGCGTGGCTTCTGGCGAGCCGCGCTGCGTATGCGCGAGGAGCAGTGACGTCACACGTGTCAGCACCAACTGGCCTACCTTCAAACTTTACCACAGTTCGACTAAACATCTGTTGGACAAAGAGTCAATCATTTGCTAAAGTCCGACGGGGCGGTGTTCGCGAATATAATAGACTCGGAAACTTGATGGGACGCAAGTTCTTGAAGCGGGAATCTCTACGAAGCGTTTTATTAAAGGACAGGGTCTTCTAGTTTCACCCCTTGACATTGCTTTCAGTCAGGATGGCACGCGC